GTGTGTGTGTGTGTGTGTGTGTGTGTGTGTAATACAGGAAACAGAGGATTAAACAAAACCACACTGTTAATACATCCTAGACCTTCAATTATTGTCTATCTGTGTGCACCAGTGCAGGTGTTTCAGGGATTCTGTTTGTCCTGTGAGTGGATTACTCCTATAAATCTGGTAATCATATAGCCTTTCCCAGTAATAGTGCATGTGATCTCATTATCCAACAGGAAACCATGACGTATTCAGTTTGTCTGGACTGAATAGGAATCTAAAAGAAGTTACAGGCCTTGCTATAAATCATTGAAGGTTATAAATAGTTGTACATAATAAACTTAAATCTGAGTGTATAAAAGCCACTGAAAGCCCATTTCATATTTGTTCACGAAATATATGACATATCTGCTGATTTTGTGGAATCCTGTTCAGTAGTTGTAAATGTAGTATCCTGGCAGGTTCTTATCCTTACTTATTGAGGGCAGAATATAATGCCTGGTGACTCTTCTGCAACACTGCAATGTATCCTCATGACCAAACGATGCATTTACACATTGTCTGTTCATTGGTTCACTCATTGTTGTTTTAAAGTATTGTGGTTTATACTAAACTAACATTATTGTGTGCGGTGTAGTCATTCGTTTTAAGAGAAATGGGCCGACTCTATAGCCTCCTTATGCTAATCCATAGCATATGGAGGCAATAGATTAGGCTACATCATTGAAAATGATTCCAGAAACAAGGATTACCTTAGCACTAGCTGCCCTCAAATGGTATAAAGCTGTTTTCCATAGACTCTGATTCTATGTACAACCAACCAAAAAACCGGACACCTTATATTAACTGTAGGTACACTGTGCTTATCTGTATGCTGCATATCTGTGTGTACCTACTGCTCAGCTCTCTGGTGTGGGTCCGTTTATCACCACTAGATGGAGACACAGCTTCATGTTTGATTTTCATTTGGAAACAACTAGAAGACAGGTGGATATGATCTCATCCCAAACACTATAAATAGCATTAGAGGAGTGATACAAAAATAGTGTAAATTTAGCATCCAAACTGAATTTAGATTTGAGCTTGGTCCGTACCAGTGGATGTGTTTGTAGGGTGAGATAATGAACGATAGAAAGAGATAACAAGATGTGTGCTTTTCACTCTTTTGTTATTTTTACATTCCTGTGAATGTGTGTGGCTGTGTTGTCCATGTGTGTTGCTGTTGTTGTTGTTGTTGTTGTTGTCCCCTGCCAGGCTCAGCCTCGCAGTAGGCAGTGCTCGTGAATCACACCTTATCCTGGTCCTCTACTGTCGGGGTGCAGTGACTCAAACAGTGTGGCTGACTAGTCTTGAATCACCCCCTAGTTAAATTCTGCCCAAACAGGCTGTGAGAAGAGGGCTATGCTCGTTGGCCGGCTACTTTAAAAGTCAGATGTGCCGACACACACTGTGCTCCGACATCCAAGCCAGGGCTCATTGGCACGGGAGGCAATTAAGTTCACCCATGCAAGTCAATTCAATTATGCATCTGTGACGAGCCCTGAAATACAAGACGTATGCTGTGGCTTCACACTTGGTCACTTTACTAAAAAAATAAAATATGTGATCTTGACAATTTTTTATGAAGGCAATACTAAAGTTTATATTATCTTCCTTAAAGCCCGCTATAAGTGACCGCCAACGTTCAAACTAATATTGCAGATTGTATGTTTACCAAGTCCTTTAATGCATGATATATTTGAACATGAGGTTCATTTTTTAAAACTGCACTTTAACTCCAATAATGATCTCCATCTCCATAGGAATCTCAACATCTTTGTTTTTATGTGCACAGCGGATAAAACAAACTAAAAGTGAGCAAGCTGAGATTGAACAGCATGTAAAACTATTGAAGAGTGAACCAGCCAGGCTGTAATGGGAAAATAAATGGAGCATTCTGCTTAGCTGTGTGTGTGTGTGTGTGTGTGTGTGTGTGTGTGTGTGTGTGTGTGTGTGTGTGTGTGTGTGTGTGTGTGTGTGTGTGTGTGTGTGTGTGTGTGTGTGTGTGTGTTTGCGCGCAATTAGTTCTCAGAGGAGCTGTAACTCAAAGGGATGCTGACTGAGCTGGAAGAGAGAAAAACAAAGAGTTGTTCCTGGGAAGATGGCCGCTTCTGGCATCGGATCACAGCTAGCAGAAGCATAGGGAGAGTCTCAAAGTGTGTGTGTGTGTGTGTGTGTGTGTGTGTGTGTGTGTGTGTGTGTGTGTGTGTGTGTGTGTGTGTGTGTGTGTGTGTGTGTGTGTGTGTGTGTGTGTGTGTGTGTGTGTGTGTGTGTGTGTGTTAGTGGAAATAGAGGTGTATAGCCGAGATGACTCATAGAGGATTTCAGTCAATTGAGTAACCTTCAAGCCGTTGCCGGTTGCAGTTCACTGCATGAGGAGTGTTCATATTAAAAATGTATTTCAAGTTTTTTGACCAATCCAAGTACTTTTCCATTTGGAATTTGCTGATTCTGAGTGAATACTTGTGTTATCCCACATGTAACCTCTTGCACAATTAAATAAAAGCTTTGGCTTATACATTTGGCTCACCCAATCTTTACAGTATTTTTACACCGATTAAAATATATTTAATTGATTACACTTCAACTATTGATATGATACCACTGAAAGAAGGTTTGCTGAATGTTGTGACAGGATTGGCCACACAGAAGATGTGTAACTCTGCTGAAGTTCTTGGAAACATAAAAGCACTCTAGAAAGCAGACAAACCATACACCATCCAGGCTTATATTCAGTTCATATTCAGTCAGAAAATTATAAATTAATGGTCCATTAAAAGGAGCACTCATTCTCTGTGTTCAACTTACAGAGATGGACCAGAAAATAACCAGGATGATGTCATAGTTATGTCATCAAGGTTATCTTGGTTTGGGTGTGGACGTATGCAGACTACCTTTTTTAAACAGAAAAACAGATCATTATTGGAAATGTGGGATTGAGTGCTTTTGAACCTTGACCATGTTTCGTTTGTGACGCAGGTTTTAAAGAAGTGGGTAAAAAAAACATCCAAAATGTACAAACACCCCAAAAGCAGATTGCTTCTGTTACACAAGCAGTGTGGGAGGTAGATCAAGGACTATTACATGTTATTTCCGTAAACTGTACTTATGTTATGGTTTTTCATAATGCTACTCTGACCAGAACAAAATGTAAGCCCTTGAATTAAAGGTCTAAATGTTTTTATGTTTCTTTATTCCGGGCAGCCAAAATAATAAAATAATCATTAGTCATTAGATTCATTGCTTCCCACAAAGGAGCTAAAAGCACCAACTGTAGTCTTTTCGGGGTACAACAATGAGCTAAAAGTAATAATATAAAGCTTTTTGTCTTAATGAGTTCTGCTGCCACCACCAGAGGCCTAGCTCTTGTGAAGAGGGCTGCATATATGAATCAATGTCATGCTCTGCCAGAGAGATATTTCTCCATAATTTGATTTCTAGCCAGGATTGTAGTAAAAGAAACCACGGGTCATAAAAGGTTTGAATAATCTCTCTAATCATGCAGAACTCGCCTCATGAGACACAATCGAGCACCTCTTAACTGACAGCGTGTCCAACAGATGAAATAATGTGTATATGGAGTATATTTTGTCGGTATTGCTGATAAAACGGTAACGGGTGAAATTTCTCGGGATAACACAAGAACTTCCAAGGCCATATAAGTGGCACCTTAAAGAGGTCCTTTATCTTCATTTCAATGCCTAAAGGGCACGTGTCTGACAGAGCAGGACATTATTGATCGACATTATTTACTTTCATCTCCATTTCGTAGCCATACATGTTAGCCAATGACATGCTGTTTGAACCTCCCCTGACAGCAGTGTCCTTGTCATGTTCCCTTTAGGTCGATACCTGCGCCTGAAAGTGTTCCGCGAGGATCATGGCTCCTGGATGACCATGTTCTTCAGCGCCATCCTCTTCCTCTTCATCTTCTCACACATCTACAACATTTTCCTGCTGATGGCTGGAAGCATGGAGTAAGCCATTTCTATCTCTTTCTCTATGCCTTTTTCCCCATCCTCTGCTTCCCATTTGTTAGAGCCTCACTGTACGCTCCCCTTTGGCTTGCCGTGATTGATCGAAACATCTCGCTTGAACTGAGACTCGATAGCAGTCTGATTAATCAGCCCACATTTTAAATCACAGGTAGGAGCAGGCAATAGGAGGGTGGTTAATCCTGAAAGATCACCTCCAGCACCCACTCTTATTCTCCCATGATCTCGACTTATTTTGTGACACCTCTCTGGCTAAAATCCAAGACTTTTTTTGCCATGTCTCGCAGTCGGTGCCTTGTTTCTTCGCTCCTGTTGCCCCAGCTTACCTGCTGGGGAAACACTGCGCACTGCAGAGCCTGACACCCACACATCAAACCTGTGACAGGAATCCATTTATGCATTTGCAAAGTGTCTGTCTAGAGGAAGGAAAAACATGCCCTTGAAGCCAGCCAGCCACACGCGAGGTCACTACGAGGTGATTTAACATTTTGGGCTGTTAAAAAACAGTGGCAGGTGTCTATTCAGGTGCAAGCTGTCAAGAGAGAGTCCAGGGCTATAATGGGATCTGTCTATACAGTGATGCTTTTCCATATTAACAACAAGCACTAACTATCCATAGGGTGCAGGCAGATGAAGGCTATTAGCTTGCAGGCGAGGTGTTTTTCTTTGGCCAGAGGGATGAGTTTGTATAATCAGCCCATCTGTCACTCCGGCCAGCGCTGTGACACCGGCATCCATCTTGTCCGTTCTCTCTGGTCGGCCGAGAAAAAAAATGCAGCGAGCAGCTGAGCAGTGAGGAGCAGGTCCGCCGAGACAACATATGTTGCTTGCTCAGGGAAAAGTTACATTTGCAGTCGCAACTACACTCAGTGCATCTGTCACACCGAGGTTTCATTTTTACTGCCTCTCATTCCCGCCTTGAAATGTGGAGAAATGGGGCCCTTTTGAGTCTGTCATTGCTTTTTCTTTGCTGTCAGGAATTTCTGACTAGATGACATTCGGATAACACTTAAGGAAAAATAATGAGTTACTCAGACATTTTTGAGAGACATAATATATAATTTATAATATGATATATAATTTATATCCATCCAACATGTGCAAGTCACTCTGCTCGTATTAGACGCATCACTTGTCAAGATATAAAAAGTAGCAACCAAGAGAGCGTATTAAACCATTAAACTGGCTGACACAACACTAAAACTCATCCGTCATTATATGCATGGTTGTGTGTTGAGCAGTCACATCACTCACTCAACGTTGTAAGTCTCTCCTCGCGAAGACAGATGGTGCTGTTGTAAAGCGAGTCAACGCGCCGCTGCCAAGACACCTGGTCTTATTCTGCACTTGTCCAAAAAAAAAACTCCCATCCTGCCCTGCTTTTCCCCGCTTGTTTTCTTTCTGTTCCAGCAGTGTGTCCACTGAGGACCCGGGCCCTGCCAAAAACCATTAGTGTTCACATCTCTGTTCAAGACCGACATGTAAGAGCAATGTTCACACTCTGCCAGGATGCCCCTCCGAAGACGTTCTCCGGGCTGCGATAGCATGAATGCAGCAGAGTGGGCAGAAATGTGGCTGAGAGGATGGGAGTCTGGGGGGGAGCGGGAGAAGTGCTCCAGCCCTGATGATGCAGTGAAACTTAAGTCTTTTGATTTATGTCCAAACCCTATTTGCATCGCCCCCACACTACCAGTCCCTCACCCCGCAGTGAGGCTGTAGTAGTTTTCTCTTAGCCACTGCACAAAGGCAAAGTACAATATCCCTTTGTGACTGTAGCTGCCCCTCTGTGGGAGTGAATGGTGTTTTTCCTTTTCATTTGTAATGAAAGAACAAGCCGCTGTGAGGTATTATTACTTCCACGGGCTTTTAAAGGGTTGGTATTTTGGCATGGGTTAGCTTTCTTTGACATGTAGCCATGATGGTACACTGCAGGCTATGCTCTCTGGTAGCAAGACACACTCTCCCGCACACACACACACACACCACGCACATATTGCACACACACACACACACACACACACACACACACACACACACACACACACACACACACACACACACACACACACACACACCACGCACATATTGTTCACGTCTCACACCTTGTTCAAGTTAGTTAGCGTGTGTGTAGGAGAGGGAGTGTGTGTGTGTGTGTGTGTGTGTGTGTGTGTGTGTGTGTGTGTGTGTGTGTGTGTGTGTGTGTGTGTGTGTGTGTGTGTGTGTGTGTGTGTGTGTGTGTGTGTGTGTGTGTGTGTGTGTGTGTGTGTGTGTCTGTGTGCGTGCGCTGCGGGGTGTTTGTGTTTGCTGTATATGTTGCCCATCTCTGCGCTCATTAATATGCTTTCATTTTCTTTGACCTTTCAGCGGGTCTTGAGCTTGATTTTTACATTACATTGAAGTTTGGCTGACGCTTTTATTCAAAGCGACTTACAATAAGTGCGTTCGACCAACAAAATACAAACTTGAAGAAAACAGAATCATATAAGTACATCAGGTTTCATAGAGCCAAAACATTTCAAGTGCTACTCAACTGGCTTTAGATAAGCCAGTCCTTTATTAGTATATACGTGCTTTGTTAGTTCTTTGTTAGTAATTATTTGTTAATAATTCTATCTCTCGAAGTGGAGTCTAAAGAGATGAATTTTCAGTCTGCGCCGGAAGATGTGTAGGCTTTCTGCTGTCCTGATTTCAATGGGGAGCTCATTCCACCATTTTGGAGCCAGGATAGCAAACCCACGTGTTTTTGCTGATGGGAACTTGGGTCCCCCTCGCAGTGCGGGTGCAGCGAGCTGTTTGGCCGATGCAGAGCCGAGTGCACGTGCTGGGGTGTACAGTTTAACCATGTCCTGGATGTAGGAAGGGCCAGATCCATTCGCAGCATGGTACGCAAGTACCAGTGTCTTGAAGTGGATTCTAGTCGTATCCTCCTGATGTTGTAAAGAGTGTTTCTGCAGCAGCGGGTTGTAGCAGCGATGTTTGCAGTGAAGGACAGTTTGTTATCTAGGGTCACACCCAGATTCCTTGGAGTCTGAGTCGGGGAAACAATAGAGGTGCCGATGTTGATTGTTAGGTCAAGAGTGGGACAATCTTTTCCCGGAAGGAAAAGCAGTTCATTCATTTGCAGTATTTAATTAAAACTAGCAATACATCCACAAGGGAGGAAGATAAACCGCGACATCAGGACTGTAAACAATCACTGAAGAGAGATTGTATATCTTTTTGGGTGACAAGTATTTATTCATGATTAGTAAAATGATTTCATCAAAGCCATTATCTCTCAGCTCGAACAGATTTCCAGACTGCGTAATCTTACACATGTCCAACTGAGCCAATATTTAAACAGCCCCTTCTAGGTCAACAGCTATCAACCTGTTACCTGGCATGTGCCATATCAGGGAGGAAAATCCCGTCCGCTGAGGCACCCTGGGAGCTGTAAGCCACACTTGTTACCAGACCCTCGCATCTGGGCCATTTGCATTTTAATGTAACTGTCAGATTAGGAGGGGGGTTGTTTGTGTGAAACCAGGGGAGTGTGACCGCCCAGGGAGTTTGACGGACTTCATGAATGTTTTGTCACGCCGCACAATCCCATTCCACCATCTTACGGCGCCATTACCAGCCGAAATCAGCCCCTAATTAGATGGTGTTATTTAATTAAGACGGCCCAATGCGTGGCGTGCACATTAATCACGACTAATATAGAGAAAGGGGGTGGTAAAGTAAGTGAAGGTGGAAGGAAGGAGGGAGGGAGGGAGGGGGTGTGATGGGGAGCTGGAGTAGGACAGTACAGCTGTAAAATGACTTGTGTATTTGTGTTTGTTACCCAGTAAAGGAGACACAGATGGATGTCAGGATAGGCGGGATAAGAGGGGTAATCTGGGCAGAGCAAGGGGCGGTGGAAGGTTTGCATTTGGTGGATAGCTTTGATGAGGAGCAGGGAGGGATGGAAGTGGCATTTGACAACAGTGATACCCTGAGCGGGATTAGACCCCATCATACGAGGGTATTTGTCTTTTGTTTACCATGATCCTTTGTGCCGCTTGCATGCTAGTCCCCCTCCTCTGTCTGTTTGCTTGTCTGGCACTAAGCTGGGGTAATTCCATGAACAAGTGGATTTAAAAGGCTGAATAAATAGCGTGTTGCGGTATGTAGATGCCTCCTGTTGCATGCAATCACACATGAGACTTGCTGCTGTCTACAGTACAGCATGTCTGTGTTCACTTTAAATATAGATACAGACAAACTATAAAACTGTAGTCAGTCCTGGGCAGTAGTGTGTTACAGTCATTTGATTTCATTAGTCATTTTAATTAGTAATGTAATTAATATCACAAGATACAATGATTATTAAATTGAAAGACATGGATTATTGAACATATTTTCTTTTTATTTGATTTTTAAGCACATACAAAGTAGTCTTTGAAGTGTTGTATTGTATATCTAGTATAATGAGTTTGTGTCTGAAAACAAGAATGATCTGCAACCATGCTGTGGTCTTTGCTAAGCAGTTGTGACATTTGTGGTAATTGTGTTTTGTCTGTGATGAAAATGTTAAGTCCATTGGCATTTCAGATAAAACAACAAATATTTTGTTCGGTCTAAAGCATTTCTGAAAATCACTTGTTTCTTACATTTGTAGAGCAAAAGCTTAATCTGGGAAAATAACTATTATATTAATCTATTTCAAAAATAATCTTTTTTAAATGAACTGATTTGCTTAATATTGCATAATATTTAAAAATGCAATCGTACATCTTTACTATTAACTAAATTGTAAAGAAACCTGTTGCTCTTCCTAAATCCCATTAAAAGTCTCGCAGTGTAAATTCATTGATCATTTTTTCGTTCCCTTCCTCACTCTGCCTCTCTCGTACTTTCACACACCCACACGGCAAATCTGCTGCTGTCTTTCACACTCCTACATGCACATTATGTTGGTATCTCAAAAATGAGTCATTACGTATTTAACAAGTCTTTAGTTA